GTATTTCCCACCCTCCACTGTGTCTGCGGGATGCTGTCGCTTCTCATAGAAATGCCCACAAGACGCATAAATCGGGTGGGCCCCCAGCACTTGGGGGCGTGAGGATAACATGCTCAGCGGATTGCTCTTGGGAACTGTTTGGGGTGGGGGTGGGGCGCGTGCCTTTGCACAGAATTACGCAGGTCTGCTCGGTTTGACCCGGGAAGGAAAATCGTGCTCAATAACGGGCCTTCAGCAAATGCAGCTGAGTAAATAAAAATGTGTGCATCAGACAGCAGGGGAACCGTGAAGAGCAGCGTTTGGGGCTGGTTGGGAAGATATTTATGGTTGGGAACCTAGTGACTAAAAAGCAAGGCTGCCTGAAGATGAGCAAAGCTGGTGGGGGAGGTCATCTGCAGACAGAGTCTCGCCATGGCCGAGGGCGATGAATCGCACAGTTGAACCGTCCAGCTTTGCGTGGACCTTGGAAGTCCGGAACAAGAATCTTATTGATGATTTGTCAGACCCCGAGCAGACAACCCTGAACTTTAACAGAGCAGGATGGAAAGCTCGCACAAGGGCCTACAGTGTCCAGAATGAACAGCACGTTTATTTTTCGTCCCTCCACTGGAGGACGAGGAAGAGGCCAAAATGAAAAGTGTGGGGGTGGGGGCTAGAAAATGTGAGGAGCGTGTTCCAGAGCCTCAATGGAACGGCCACATTCCTCCCAGGGACCGCCTGCCCCTCTGAGCCCTGAGGGTGGAAAAATGTCACTGGGGTTGGCGCAAATGGGGCTCTGCCTTTGTTGATTGTTATTTCCGAGAGCCTGTAGCTGGACCCCAAGAGGGTGTGCCCGTAGGAGAATCGCCGACCACTGGCCCCACTATACCTAGCACCTTGTCGGGCGCCCAAACCCACAAAGCTTGATGGTGACCATAAAAAGCTCTCGCCTAGCCCTAGGCATAGACACGTGCCGAGATGACCGTGAATAATTAGTTGTGGCAGAAAGAACCTAAGGAGACCATTGGCCATGGCAGCTTCATGGAGAAAGGCCTGGCCGGACCATGAACCATGATGCGGATCTCGAGAGGAAAGGAAATGACATCCCAGCTGTTTTGACTCTTACTCCTAGTCCTGTGTTTCTTCAACCCAGGTGCTTCCCCTTCACCTAGCACAGCATAGAGGAAAAGGAAGGTATTCCAAATTCACACTGTCCCTAGCAGAGGGCACCCTGAGTGCTGCTGTCCCCCCCCACCTGCTGATGGCAGGGACATGGCTCCCTGGCTCTCCTCGGCCTGCCTGGGCCTGGGTGTCCGATGGTGTTCTGCTTCTCAGCCGTCCAGGCAGCATCTCCTGCAGTCCCTACATCAGCAGGTCCTGCCGGCTCTGCCTGCCTTGCGTCTCCTGTGCCTCCTGTCCATCCCTTCTCTACCCATGCCCCACCTCGAGGAGCACAGGCGCCAAGGAACAGAGGCCAGGACTCGGGTACCCTTCCCTGGCTGCCGGGGAACAACTGTAGCCAACGGACGGCAGACAGCAACTTTGAATTTGGACATATTCGGGTTTGAACCCCGGTGCCACCACTCACTCAGGATGTGGCCGCGTTAGGTGTGATTCAGCCTCAGGAGCCCGTTTCCTCGGCTGTGTACTTGCAGGGTGAGAACTGGAGATGGTGGGTGCAGCTGGTGGCACAGGGCCCAGCCGCCTTGATGCGGTCACACCCTGCTCATTCTCATCTGTGTTACACGATCCTCTAACTGGCCTCCCTGGCAGCCCCCTTCTGTCCTTCCCACTGCTGTCAGGCTGATGCCATCGCTGGCCTGCCCACTGCATTGCAGAGTCCTCACCATCTGCCTTGTCCCCAACCCACAGTTCTGGCCACTTCTCCCCTTTAGGGCCCCCCGCGTGTCACGACACAGAGTGGCTGATTGTTTCTCAGACACACCACATGCTTTTAGCGCCTGTGTCTTCTGAGTACTGTCTGAAATGCCTCTGCCTTTCCTCTGCTGCTGCTCCATGACCAGCTTATAAATCCCCTCCCCGTAACTCAGGGCTTGCCTCTCTTGCCTTGGTACGTTCCTGGTCCCTGGGGGACGGAAGACCCCTCTGGGACACCTCTGTCTCCCTAGAGCCAGGCATGAGCTTTTCACCCTTTGGCCTGCTTCACACTTCCTCACGGGAGAGAGAAACAGAGGCTGTTTTCCAGGAACCCTGCAGCTTTTGGGAATAGCTACGGATGTGGAAGTAAAGAGATACTTTCCGTTTTTGTGCTTTTTCTCTTTTTTCATTTTTCTCTTTTTGTTGGTCCAGAAGTAGCGGCAAAGGGACAGCCTTAGAACATTCAGGATTTCAGGAAAATGCGTCTTGAGACCCCACATGCCTTGTGAGGCCCTTTCTGTTTCTTTCCCTTGCCCCCTGCGGCTGAGTTCAGGGCTCAGTGCCACTCTCTTTCCTCGCTCAACTTCTTTAAGCTCCCCACTCTTTAGCCTGCCTAGCTCCTGGCCGGCAGGAATAGCTGTTCAGACCAAAACAAAGCACAACCTAAGGCATTCAGTTCGGGAACCGTGTTTTATTCCTTTACATCCTTCTGTAGGGCCAGCATAGCTGGACTCTGAATGAACAAATGCTTGTCAGCTCAATAGCAGTAAAAATGTGTCTGCAGACAGCACAAAGTTGGACTGTGGCCCCTCCTGGCTTTATCTCAGGTGAGAGCTGTAATTTTCCTGGCATCATGGCCCTCCGTTTCCTTCTTTAATTTAATTCCCCTCCACCCCTGCCTCATCTCCAGTTCAGTAGCACCACTGCCTTAGACAAGGGCAGGGTGACACTGGCCCTTAGTGAGCCAGTCTGGTCATAGCAGAGCAGCTGAGAAGCTGCTGGCTTCTGGCTCCAGCTGAGAAGCTCTGGGGAAGAAGGCAAGAGCCCTCGCCCGATAAGGGCAACAGGGTAGCCTTCTCTGGGTGCGTCCTCTCGTGATGCCTGTAGTGACTGATCGCCCTTGATCACCCTCTGCCAGAGGCTCCTGCGGCCCATCCTTCTTGGGCAATCATTGGACCACCTGGAAGAGCTTAGTCTCTTCCCTGCACTCTGGTGTGCCCTTCTCCTGCCCTCTCTCCCCTCTGGGGATTCGCAAATATGTTGAGTGTGAGGGTGGGTCGGCCAACCATGCCAGGGAGACACCTGGGTGGGTCTGGGCTGAGTGCACACGAGGGCAAACTTCCCACACACTCGTGCTCCAGTGACACAGATGAAGAGGGGCCGGTGCAGACGAGGGGCTCACTCTGGCCTCAGTGGAGGGGTCCGAGGAAAGCAGGGACCGCCAAGATTCCAGATGGTGTGCAAACTTCCAGGGTTCAAGTTTTAGGATAGCTAGTTCATGCAGGAAACTTCAGGAGCTGGTTTTATTAGACCATTTGGGGGAAGAGTTCTTTAGGTTCCCAGAGTTGGTACTGTATAAACCAGAAAAGTAGGGAAAGATCCTTTTTCCAAAGCTCATCCGTTGTAATATTTTGGCTGGATAAAACCTGCCGAATACCTGGATTTTTCGTGGACTTCTCTTCAGTCCTGATCCAGGCCAGTAATTTACTTTTTTATAAGCTGGCCATGAGGTTCTTTCACGTATAAAGTAAGCAGATGGATTTGCTTTGCTTTCATTGATTAATTTAGTTAACATTGGGGTGGACCCTGGAAATGGGAAGCAAGACACAGAGCCTGTCCTTGAAGCTAATAACAGCTAAATAGTAACACAGATGGCTATGACACTGTGTCGTCAGAGCTGTGTGTTGTTTCTTATTGCAGCTGTAACAAACTACCAACTTGTATCACAAGTTAATGAACTTGTGTTGCTCTGATTCCAGAGATGAGAATCTAAAAGGGGCCCATAGGGATCTGTTGCTTCTGCACGTTCTAGGGAAGAGTCCGTTTCCTTGTCTTTTCCAGATTCTAGAGGTCACCTGTGTTCACGGCTCATGGTTCTCTGTCCTCAAAGCCAACACTGTGGTATCTCTCTCTGCTTCTTCCCATCCTGCCCTCCTTTTGGGGGGCACATGTGGATAATGTGGGATAGTCCTGTTATTCACATCTCTGCAGTCCCTTTTGCCATGTCTTAAAGTAGCACATTCACAGGCTCAGGGGGTTAGGTCATGGGCATTTCTTGGGGGGGGGGGTCATTATTCAGCCTACCATAGGGGCCAGTGCTGGTAATGTGGGATTATCTGTTAAAAGGGCCTCACTGTCCCAGAGGACCCAAGAAAGCATCTCAGGAGGAATGTTATCTAGCCCAAGACCTGAGGGATGAGTAGGATTTCGCCAGGGGAAGACTGTGATGGTGTGTGAAGGTCAGGGGAGAGAGGGGTGCAGCGGCTGGGCTGTAGAGCATGATGAATGTGGCTGGGTGACGCTGGAGCTGTCTGTGGGGCTTTGGAGGCCAGCAGGGGCCAGGTCCCAAGTCTGGGGAACTAGGAGCAGCTTTTAATCATGGACACCCTGTGAACAGATTCATATTTTAGAAAGTCATGCAGCCAAGCCAACATCAGTCTTAGGATCATAGGATTTCAGAGCTGGAGGGAATATTATATGGCTTTGACCTAATGACCTGAGGTTAAATAACAGGCCCAACATCATCAGAGAGAATCAAGATGAAAATAACCCTGATTGTAACCACTGCTCCAGGAGCAAAGCTGGACAGTGGGCCGCGAGGCACTTAGAAGCTGGGTTTTCTTAGTTTTTCCACGAGAACCCTGAGAGGGCAGATGTTTGTGATGGAGCAGATATTTTCAGCACATTGGGACTGCGTCTCCACTGTCACGCCCCTAGCAAGTGGATGCCCTGGGGCTTCTGTGGAGGTCGTCCTTCTCAAAGCCCAAGGCCTGTTTCTCTCTCCTAGTGCCTCACACCAAACCCTCCCCCCCTCCCCGGGCCAGAGCGGGCACGGTGGGACACTGCAGGGTTGGGAGGTATAGCCGAGTGGGGCCTTTGGAGAGAAGGGGCTGCAGTGAGGTTTCTCCTGTCTGTGTCTCTAGCCCTGGAGCAGCTGCTGACAGAGCTGGACGATTTCCTCAAGATCCTGGACCAGGAGAACCTGAGCAGCGCAGCCGTGGTGAAGAAGAGCTGCCTGTCTGAGCTCCTCCGGGTCTACACCAAAGGCAGCAGTAAGTGTGGGCTGGGGCCGTGGAGCGGGGACTGTGTCAGTCAGCCAGGATCGCTGTAACCACACGCCGTGGACTGGGCATCGTGAACAACATGCTTTTATTTTCTCATACTTTTGGAGGCTAGAAGTCCAAGGTCACAGAGTTGGCAGGTTTGGTTTCATCTGAGGCCTCACTTTCTAGTGTCTTCACATGGTTTTCCGCCTGTATATGTCTGTGTCTTAGTGTCCTAATCTCTTTTTTTGTTTGTTTTTGAGACAAGCGTATCTGTCTCCCCTCTCCTCTTCTCCTCCCCTCTCCTCCTCTCCTCTCCTCCTCTCCCCTCCCCTCCTCCTCTCCCTCCTCTCCTCTCCTCCTCTCCTCCTCTCCTCTCCTCCTCCTCT